CGCCTGCGGCTGGTGTTTTCTACATTTCCCTGCGTCTTCTTAAATTCCCGACATGTTTTATCACAGTGTAATACACGGATTAGGCCTCTTTATTTGTTAAATATTCAGAACTATCTGCAGCTCGCATGAATAAGATTGAGACTACAATGTATAACAAATTCTACTATTATGAAGCCCCCATAAGAGGGTGGGGGAGAGGATGGGGAGAAGGAGAGTCTGGGTACCCCACATGCATCTTGTTGATCTTTTGGCCTATATATCCTTCACTTTCATCCCGTTAAATCCAATTGCAGATATATAATAATTTAATTCGTGATCGATATCACCCCGGAATGTCCTGCCCAATATCCTATTAATGTTTCCCCAAAATATCGGATGCCCGGTTAATTTTTACCTAGATATCCTGCATTCCGAAAACCCCTAATAGGGCCCTTTATTATACATCTGGGTCACAATCCCTATAGAGCGATCTAACATACATCGGGCTCAAATTGCTCGGGCCTATTAATCGTGCTATGCTCTCTCAATATTCAAAAGTGACATTTCCAAAGCTAGATCACAAACTGAATCGATAACGCTAATGAGGAAAATATTGTAAGAAAAGATTCCCATTTTGTGTACAGGCCAGTACCCCTGGGGGTATTGTCATCTTCAAATNGGTGGGGGGCGGCCGGGGAGAAGGGGAGTCTGGGTACCCCACATGCATCTTGTTTTAAAATCGTTTGGCCTATATATCCCGTATTCCGTTAAATCCAGTTGCAGAAATATAATAATTTAATTCGTGATCGATATCACCCCAGAATGTCCTGCCCGATATCCTATCAATGTTTCCCCAAAATATCGGATGCCCGGTTAATTTTTTACCTTGATATCCTGCATTCCGAAAACCCCAAATAGGGCCATTTATTATACATCTGGGTCGCAATCCCTATAGAGAGATCTAACATACTTTGCGCAGAAAAGGCATCATGCCAGATATAAAGTGACTCCAACTATTAGGAGAACTTGGTGAAATTTTGGCTTTTTCTTTGCAGTATCCATGGAAAAATTGGCTTTCAAAATCTACAAAATTTCTGTCTGGAAGAATCGGTAATGAGCTCAATCATTATCTGTCAAATGTTCAGTATTTAATCCCGCCTCGCATTAACAACAACAACAACAACAACAACAACAACAACAAAAACATCGGGCTAAAATTGCTCGGGCCTATTAATCGTGCTATGCCCTCTCAATATTCAAAACTGACATTTCCAAAGATAGATCACAAACTGAATCGATAACGCTAATGAGGAAAATATTGTAAGAAAAGATTCCCATTTTGTGTACAGGCCAGTACCCCTGGGGCTATTGTTATCTTCAAATTCAAATTCAACGGTGAATTTAATATTTGCGTGACAGTTATTAAGGTAGTGTAGAAACTGAGTTGCTGTG